GTTATTCATTAATGAACAGCATTCTCCAAATTTGTAATAAATAATAATATGTTGATAGAATACATAATTAGTAGTTTTTTGATACCAAATTAGCCATGTTTCGGAAAGACTTGTTGAATTTATTCTACCCTAACAACACAGGGATGTCCTAGGTACGTCCCTTTTTTGTCCCGCCGTACAAGGACATGATTGGAGCATCCAGGGGATGTCCCGCAGTGGTTGATTTTCTGAAAATGTTTGTTTTTCTTCCGGAAAATAATTGTAATGAAAATAAAGAATAAATAAGTCTCAGAACTTCTTAAGAAATGACCATTTCTTCCAAACAGAAATTGTACATGCCTAATGCCCCTCATTTTTAAACACCCAAGAATGATAATAATTATACCCAAATCCATTGTAGATAAAGTTTTATTCATTCAGGTTTCTGTAGTTAAGTCCTGTTTATAAATCTGTTTAGTACATAAATCTTCAGGAGGCATAATGGCCAATGAAGCAAGGTGCGTGCATGATAAGCTGAAGGTCCCGGGTTCAATCCCCACTCGACCTACATTTTTTTTGTCGAAGAGATGTCCCTGGGATATCCTTGGGACGTCCTAGGGATGTCCTTTCTTCGTACTTGGTACATCCCAAGGACGTTACGAGAAGGACATCCCTTGAATGCCGTTTTTGGCGGCCAGCGGATGTCCAGTATGTACGTTGTCCCGACAAAGGACATCCCTGGGATGTCCAAGTATAAAATCAGGGACGTCCCTGGGAAGTCCCTAGGATGTACTGGTGTTGTTAGGGTAATTACAATTGATACCTGTATTCGCTAAGGATCTAAGTTTCATCATGCAACTCAACCAATCAGCTCAATTTTTTCCCTATAATAATTATTGCTATTCGATCGAAGTTGAAGTTAGGTTAGATTATTTTAGGTTAGAAAACTTGTAGTAGGTATAAACCTGTTAGTTTTCTATGAATATATAAATGCGTCGGTTCTCTTTTAGACTTGGCGCCACTTCTGGAGGGTTAAGTGCATTTCAATCACCTTTTACTTCCTGTTATCGGGCAATGTAGAAGCTCTAGAGTCTAGTGTCTAGACTCTAGAACCTACAAATTTAATCATAAACATCCGCTAAAATGTTACTGTATGTCAGTGAGTCATTTTCAAAATAAAATGAGGCGACCACTTCATAATATTTTGATCAGTTTCAGATTAATGAGACATTTTTTATTTTTTCCTGCCTTGTGCTTAAGTTCTGTGATAACATGACATTCAATAATTAACAAGGTGAAATATTACCACGTTTTTATTATTTCTTGAGAAAATTAGTGGGCCTATAAATGTTTATGCTAACACCACAGGTTTGGTGTTTCTGTTGAACAAACAGTATACTGTCATCCATTGTTGATAATAGCAATGCAATGATACCGTAAGTATGATAAATGAAGTGCAAAAAAATATATAAATATTGTCACAATGTATCAGAGCTTATTAAAATAAACATTATCTTCATCACAACTGACTGAAATCAAATAATTCATGTCAGCCACTAGAATAGTGTATAGAGTACGGATACTCGACAAGAAATGACAGTTCACCATAACCACTAATTATTTTTAAGCAGATCATATGTTTTGCTGAACAAGGACATGCATATTATGCTTGTCACTTAGTTTTTCGCTTTTTGTATCTCCAATTCTCCACATGTTCAGAGAAGAGTACAGCCATATTATATATCTTTTTTCTCATCATGTGGTAAGATGGTTTACGTGGTACTATAATGACATAATGGCTATAATTGATATAACAAAGGAGTACAATTTGTAGTAGGTAAATCAGAAGTTTCAGAATGAAACAAAAAATCGATGAAATAGATCAGGAATGCCACAAATAAAGCAAACGTGGATGAAAAGCATTCGCTTAAAATTATATTTTTCATAAATATACAGAGGGAAATGAAGGATTGCTAATGATATCAGATGGGATACCCATTGAAACAACGAACGGCCAAAATCAAAATACTCGAAGCTCGCTGAATGAATTCGAGATTTTTTTTCATTTTTTGGTTGTGGAAGGTTGGATCTGGCATCTCTTGGAGTATTTTTTCAAAATTTTGAATATGAATTTTCAGAAATTTACCATATTCACTATGTTTCATCTGTTGAATGGATTGTAATTTCATTCATAAAAATGAAAACATGCATGAATAATCATTTGTTTCATACCTGTTTCATACCTGGCGCACCCGCGTTGCAATCCATATTGTTAATTGATACGTATATGTCTTTTTGAAGATTCAAAATGACTGATGAATAAATACAAAATGTTATAGTATAGTGAGACACTTATAAACTTTTTTACTTTCCCTTTTACACCCCAATTCTACTTTGATCTCTTCCAAAGGGTTTACTCCTTCTTCTTGCAATTTTTGCTAGCTGAAACAATATTCCACAAGTCGCTTCCGTTGTTTCTCTTTTTTAGCGAAATATAAATCATTGAATTGCATTGATTGTTATAGCACTTCTTTAGTTCTATCAAATCCACAAACTTGCATCTTGTTGCTATTTTTCTCAACTTGACAAATCCATGTATGTACCTATGCATGATGAAATGAAGATATAGTCAATTCTGATTTCTATATCCGACAGTGGCGGTTAGGTGAGGTTGACAGCTGGTGTTTGTGGCGTTCTCAATTTTGAACTAATGCCTATATAAGTGTATATAACTGATTATTTTGTTCGTATGATTTCAAACCAATCAAAACGTTCAATTGAGTTAAGCCACCTCGTATAATTTCGAATATATGTGGATATACATAGAGTAACTCTGCCAATCAGAAATATAAAACTATTTCCATAGTAAAACGTTCGTTCAGAAGTACACAAAAAATAATCGCATCCAATACAATGCAAACTTCAAACAATTCATGGTTATACATCTCAAACTTCCTGCATAATAACAAATCGTGTCAGTTCAACAAAATAATAATATTTAAACTGTCAAACTGACACTTCTTGTCATGCAACAAGTTATCGATATACAAGCCGAATATTTTGAAGTAAGTACATATAGTATTACTACTGAATATCTTGCAAGATCACTCAAACATTAATACCATCCGGTGTTTATTTCCTTCCTGTGGTATTGAAATTAGACAAAATGAAAAGGTAAAGATATACAATGTTTTCTGAAAATTTCAAAAGAATGAGCTGGTTCCTCATCTATAGTTAGGCAATCCAACTGAGGTTAGAATCAATATGGCACCTAGTCAGCACCATTATGTCAAATCAATGACATGATGTTACTAGAACAATTAAATGCTTACTCTTTGTAATTTTCTTCGATTACATGACTTGTACTTCTGATACCAACAGGAATTCTCATAGAAAAACGATTTATCACACATAAATAATTTCATTATGTGCCAACCAGTACATAGTATTTGACAGGTCATAGGTCGCGTGCACGATGACCGACCCTGGAGGCAAAATATTGAAACACAACCTAATTCTTCTGTGAATTATTGAAACACAACCTCACTTTTTTACTTGGTTACAGAGGAATCAAAGGATTGAAATAGTTTTTCACAATATTTTGGCATACGAATCGTGTTTTTTGCGCTATTCATCAAGTCGAGCATGCCTTCGCATTGTGCTGTTGTACAATGCACAAAAAATGCAGCAAGAGACTAAAGAATATGATTTTTCAGGTAAATAGTTATCATTATGAAATGTTGTCATTCCTTATTAAAATTCCTTCTGCCTTCTGCCACTTCTGCAATACAAGCTAATACTGCTAACAGATTGAAAATGTCTACAACACACACGATCGTCAGCATGTCAGACCAGTCCTCCCGATTGATTGCATGAATCCAATCTTGCATTATTCTAGAAATTTCAGGTATATTTCTATTAGCTCCTATTGCAGAAGGAATTCCGATGAGAAATAACCAAATTTCAAAAATGAAAACAATATGTGAATGACTATAGTAATGTAGGTACTTACTTTTAAATCATAATGTACCATCCGGATTGCTTCATCTTCCGCTGCAGTTTTTGTGCATTTTACAACAGCACAATGTGATGGCATGAGCGAATTGATAAATAGCGGAAAAATACGATTCATATGCCAAAATAATTGTAAAACTATTTTGATCACTTGTAAACAAATAAGAAAAGTGACGTTATTGTGTATTGTGTCATCTGACAGTTCTTGCACGCAACCCATGTTAATGTACTGACAGTTCTCGCTTTTATTTTTTTGTGGTTATGTCTAACTGTCACTGCTTGTCAGAGTGTCCGTATTTTGTGATACAAAAACGTCAAATCCATATAGGTATAGGATCAATTACTGGTATCTCTACCTCAAGGTGGATTTATGCACACCGCTCTTCCATTAATCTGTTGCTTTCATTAACCGTCATTGAATTTATTTTTATTCAAGGACTTTGATGCCCTTATGCATTACCTTTCTCAACTTCAGACTCTTCTTCATGATCCAAGCATAGTCCTCAGCGTACTTAGCCCGATGAAAATATTGGTTGTCTAACCTCCACTGCTCACATTATTAAAATAAGACTAATATGTTCATATCAATATATTTCAAAGTCTAATTTGACTTTTACTTGTATTTGTGGTTAATAGATAAACGTTGGTCATCGTTTAGCGAATAGTTAATGAAAGATAAAAATTAATTTGGGTGCATGAATGATTGAACGGAAATACCAAGTTTCAACTCATCAGTGAAATCGTTAATGATTGTGAAACTGAAGAGTAATGAAAAAAGCGGCGAGCATAAATCCGCTTTTACTGCGAGAAAAGCATGATGATGATGATAATGATACATGAAGTTGTTCCATTATTTCACCCTCAAAAAATACTCAAAAACTTAACCATGGGCATGACCTTGAAACATGAGAAATCGTCAAAATATATAAAAAAAAGTGTTTGATTTACCTCGGAGCATCGCCCTGAAAATCGAACAATTAGAAAACAAACCCCCCCCGAATCCTTACCTCCATCTCATGAATACTGGCCATTTTTTGTGCGATACGAACGGACAGTTTCTCGTCGGCCAATTCCCTGGTCTTCAGCGGCCTGGCATCGATGTACTGCTCGATCCTGCCGCCAGGGAAGATGCCGTGCAGTTTGGGGCCGAGGCCCCGCTCGGACAGCAGCGTGAACACCACGGACTCGGTGATGAGGGCCTCGATGGCGCCCTCACCGTGCGTTTGGCCGTAGACTCGGATGAGCACCTCTTTGGGCTCGTCCTGCCGTTTGGACTCGGCGAAGAGGGATTCTGGTAGGGAGACGTGGTACAGGAGGTTCGACAGACCGCCGCTGCAACAATAGTACATTATATACATCTAGTCCAATCAAATGGTATTTTCACTTGGAAAAAATTCGAATAGTCGGTTTCTCTGTGGTTTCATATGTTTTTGGAGGTGCTGAATGCGAATATGAATTTTGCAAACAAAATTACCTGGAGCGTTCAGAGATATTCGCAAAAAACAGCAAAATTTTCGGACTTTTTTCGGCTTTTTGTCCGTAACCCGGAAATTATACGTTATATAGAAAAGCCCGCCCTATATATAAGACTTTTTTTACAACCGACCCAATAGTCGTCCATGTTAATCCCAAATATTAGCTCTTGAGTTGACGTTTCTATTACTGACACAAACAAAGGTATGTTGCTAGGCAACACTTTTAGTTCCTAGGAGCTAACGTTGACCTAACTCTACTTCCTAGGAACTAGAAAGGCTGTTTTAGAGGTCATCGAGAATAAACAACATTGTTACGGTTGGGACGCATACCTGGTATTTTTCCGATTTAGGCAGATTTGGCATTTCATACCCATGCTGGAGATATAAATACACCATATTATAGTTACGTATTTTTGTTTTAATCAGGAGAGCCTCCAAGATTCACATGCTTGCTTGATCTTCATTTCATTCGTTATTCTCGAGATGGATAACTTGTTTCTGAATAATCACGGCCATTAATACTTTTTTGTCTCACACAACGATATTGTTTATCTTCAATTGATTACCGCGCCAAACACAGTGGAGTATGGCCAGAAATAAATAGGTAATCGCTATTATTATTATTGTTGATATGCTCACTAACCTAACATTTTCCACGACTTTTTACTATTTTTCCCATACCTGTCACTGGCGTGGTATTTGCTATTAGAGCTGACACCTGGTCCATACAAAAATGAGTCACTCTGTGGTTGTATTCATATTGAAACTACAATTCGAACATCCTTGAAAATTGAATAAACCTGATCAGTTAATGCAGGTAGAATATTCTGACCACACGGATTATTTGTTACATTGCATACATATGGCACGGCATTTGAGGTGACCACACATATATGTTTTAGTTAATTCCTTCGGTTGCAGAAAAAATCGCATGTTTCATTCGGATCAAAAGTGACTCGCAAATGCAAAATTCGGTTGTCAGACAAAGTGTCACTTTTGATCCCAATAAAACAATCTACTATTTCTTCATAACGGGTGTTTTTTTTTAGAGGTTCACAACTTTGATTTGGGAACACTGCTTCATTTGATAAACCACTTCGTGCACTTCATCAGTTTCATGACGTACAATCGTCCTTTAGAGCGGCTAATTCGAATAACAATTTCGTTTTCGGACCACGTTTACGCTTTATGATGATGTACGAACAGTGGGCACTGAAGAAGTTGTAGCCGCTGTACAGGAAAGCATAATAATAATTGTAGAAGATCAAAATTAATCAATTCGTCGCCGTTTTCAGCAACTGGAGTTGAGTCCTTGCAGATTGAACCTTGTAACGCGAGAGCCGTGGCGGCCATATGTCCGAAATCATATTTAAACATTAATTTCATGAAGTTTTCACTTATAATATCACGAGAGCTTCAATTATTTCCGGAAAATTTTTCGAGAACACGAATTTTCGAAATATTCGTGTTCGAGATAAAATTCCCGGATATTAATTGAAGCTAAAGTGGTATTCGGTAAGAAAATTTACAAGTTGATGGTTGTTTGTGATGAAATGTAAGAACTAACGTATAGTAACAACATGTGTTTTTGTAAATGTCGAATTTGCAAGTATACCTAAATAATAATTTATGGTAAAATGTTGATAAATTATTTTTATTTATTGACTTATAGAATCAACTCGAAATAATCTGAAGTTGTATGGGAATGTTATTCAACCCATAGACGTCAACAAATTTCCAGTGTTATTTCATGCTCCGTCCTCCAAGGAGGAGGAAAAGATTTCCAAAAATTTGTTTAGTTGCTATGGTAACGATACGAAATACATGCTTTAAATTGATCGAGAATGTTTGGTGTGGAATTTTCTATCGAATAATGACCGTTTCTGGATATAAAAAATATATTTCTTCGTTTTATCATGATTTGACTCTGAAAAACACCGTTTTACGTGTGTCCTAAAATGCACCCAACACAAGTGTGGACCCCCTGCTCCAACTCTCCCACATTAAAAAGAAAGAAGGAAAGCTCAAAGTCATCTCCAGTACTTTATTAGATGTCCCCTTGATTGATTTACATCTATTATAAAGTAGTAGAGATGACTTTGAGCTTTCTTTCTTCCTTTTGAAAAATTCCACTCCACTTTGAGCAAACATGGACTTCTACCAGAGATTAAACGCTGGGTTAACATTATTTTTTGATGGAAATTGGTTATGGAAATAACAAGTGAGGTACGTTGGTACGTAGTTTTTGAAAGGTATCAGATTAGTATAGATGTAGTTTTCATTAGGTACTAGATTAGTATAGAGGTCAGATAATTTATACGACGCTATAAAAGCAGATGATATTTTATCATTGCTCATGTAAGATGGAAGAATAAGAGGCCATGGCACCATATCATGAGCATATTTTTATATTGAAACTATCATTGGGCACCAAAGATGTGTATACGATGCTATGAAAGTTCAGAGAACTGGAGATTTTTTCCACAAACTACGTACTCAGCCCACTCGACTGTCTTGGTTTTTCCAGACAAACAACGTACCTAGCCCACTCGACTGCCAATAGGGACTAAAAAACCAAAACAAAAGAAAGTTAAAACAATGCCAATATATTTATTTTTTGTGGGAAATCAAGGCAGTCGAGTGAGCTAGGTACGTAGTTTGTGGGAAAAAATCAAGACAGTCTAGTGTGCTTTTTTTACTTTCTTTTGTTTTTTGTTTTGTTTTCTATTGGCAAGTGATTATCTAGTAACTTGTAAATTTTTTAGTTTTTTTATCGTATCTCCCGAACTATTGAATTCACAGAAAAATGTAATACGGATTTTTTGTAGATTCTATCAAAAGGAATAATTTTGGTTTCATATCATTTTCGGATATTTTCAGTTGTTTTCGAGATATTTGGAATTATCTGAGAATAAAATTTTCAATACTTTTGTTCCATCTTCCAATCAACAAAAGCAAAAAATATTTCATGGTTCAGTGGAAGTCGATGAGCTTCATCTATCGATAATCTTTGTTTTTCAATATATTTTCATGGTGCCCTATGGGTCGTTAAATTTTTTTTCATATTTTTCACTTTATTTCCTGTACTATTGGGTTTACAGAAAAAATTATGGGTGATAATTTGTAGAAAATGTTCCAGTGGATAACTTTGCACTATTGAATTGAAAGGATTTCAAATTTTGATGTTATGATTTTCATTTGTTTTTCCATTTTCCGATGGATGCACGAAAAAATGGTAATATAATAATTTGTTGCGTCATCAAAGAGGCATACGGTGCATTTTTCAAATTTGGATTTAGTCTATTGGTTCAGAAGATATGTCGTTTTAAAACGAACCTTGTGTTTCGGAAAATCTCCTTGAAAAACCCACTTGGAATTTTCCGACCCTGCTCAATTTCAATAGGCTTCGGCTCTCCCTGATAGCGTTTTTTTTTTCACAAAAAATGAAATCGATCGGACCAATTTTGCGATTTGTAGAGTGGTGGCAAGGCCGTAGTATACTCCACTATATAGGTAATATGCTTAGTAAGCAGTCTCTCCTCATCTATACCACACATTGCTTTCATTTATATATTTTGAATAAACAAATGCGCTGCACTGTCGACATTTCTAGATATTCAACGATAATAAATACATTGGTTTATATTTCATTTTTGTCTACGTACACAGTGGACTGTGTATATCATGGTATATCCAATATTTTTGAAGCAAAAAAGAAGATGAGTGCCTAAAAAACAGAGGCATGCCAATTTCCAGATGATTTGATCCGTTATTGTGATCACAATTTCACCTCTTTTTTTTTTTCACCCAACTTACAGTGGCTCTAGCTCAGAGAAGATGCATTTTAGGACGCATGTCTATATGAAGATAAAGTCTATTCACATCGAATTTTGAATCACCCTGTATATGGCGCAATTAAACCCATATATCATATCATGATGAATATCATTTTATGGGAACTTAATTTTGTCAGAAAATAAACATCATGAACATCTATATCAATTTAGATGAGTACATAATCGTTTAATAGGTACCTCGTATAATACGATTAACAGATTTTTCATAAAATGTTATCAGAATTCACGTAGGTATATACGATGCATACTGAAATGCACTGTAATCAGCAACTTTTGTTGTTTTATTGTAGCGGGTACTTACGTCAGAACCGTCTAGCACCCAGACAAAACAACTTTGTAAATCGAATTGTTTGATAGCGAATTTCATTGGCAGGAGGTCGAGTGTTCCTCCAGTGAGAGTATATTTCTCTGTTCAACACATGCGAGTAAGAAGGAAAGATATATACAGGGTCGGCCACCAGTAACGCCACGATCTTTAGAAGGCTAACCACTCATCTTGTTGAAATTCTTAATGTTTAGGACGTTGCATGTCAACATAGGCTACCATTTGAAATTATTTCGAAACATACAGGGTATCCCCCAAAAAAAAAACACTGAAGTTATACTTTTTCTAATGGAACACCCTATATATTTTTATAAGAAAAAACAATAAAAGTTCTAAAGTCTGTCGACTACGAAAAATTATGTAATATCAGTAGTGTAACTAGTTTCGGCCAGAGGCCATCATCAGACACAAAATTGATGTATTCAAAGTACCTAAAAGATATAATGAACATTGTTAAGGAGTCAAAAAGAGAGTCAAAGAGTTGGTATACATATTAACAGCAACAAAATTTTTATCAAAAAGTCAAGGTCGAAAGTTCAAATTATCAGTCCTGAATGTGATCTAAATCTGGAAAAAGTCCAGTAAAACCAGATCAGCATTATATTTATAAACAGATACATCAGAACGATAAATCAAAAAGTTAAAAATTCTCTCACGTGAGATTCATCAGGTTAT